TGGACTTTTGGTTTGGTTTAGAATTTAGTCAAGGTCTCCATCGGCACTCCCGTGTTGCTAACACTGTAAATTGTATATTTATGTTACATATTAATTAATAGCTTAGTATAAAATAAATAAATTTGCCAAGTTTGATAAAAATATATCCATAAAAAAGCAAACTGCAACAATTTTATTTTCCTCTATAAGAATAACATGGGAATTTTTTATTTAATACTAACTTTTATTATTTATCTCAATAACCATTAGAGATAGAGCAAACCTTGTAATATAAAAAAGATGTATTTTTAGACGTTCTTTAACTTTTGTATTTACAAAAATCCTCTAATACCAATAGTTTGTGAAATATTGTCAAAAAAGTGAAAATTGGCCGCCATTTTCCAAGATGGCGGCTGAAGCACAGCAGGGATTTATGGGGACTTTTGAAATTTTATTTATTTAGACTTACTAAACAACTGTGCAAAGTTTCAACTTAGTCCGAATTTGTTAGGTCGAATGGCTTTATCTATAAGTATAAAAGAGGATGTTTGTATATATATTTGTTTGTTTGTTTGGCAGTGATAAACTCAGACACCGCTGAACCGATTGCCACAAAACTTGGTACATACGTGTAGAATGTCATGGAATAGGTTTATACACCATCAATTTCGTGATCCGTCCAATCGGCTCCGCCCCAGTGGCTCTGGAGTTTCCCATGTTAACCTTATGAGAAATGGAATTAATGAATCTTAACAGCTGTTTCAATTAAACAAGTTGGTTCTGTTCTATGATGTTCAATAGCATTAAAGTTACAAGGATTACCAACAGGGTGCAGCACTATTATTTCTTTTACATTTATGACAACAGCTAATTTGCAACCAAAAGGTGAGTGAGCGTAGCGAACAAACTTAACCTGGAGGCGAGTTAGCGTAGCGAACGAGCTAACCTGAAGGCAAATGAGCGCAGCGAACGAGCTCCAACCTAAAGGTGAGTGAGCGTAGCGAACGAACTTCAACCAGGACGTGATTGAGCCATGCGAACGAGATCATCTTGAAAATTAAGAAGTTAAACGGGGCAAAGCCCGCGGGATTATAAATAGTCAAAGGCAAGACAACGTCTGCCGGGTTCAGCTAGTTATTCCTAAAATTCTTGGACTATATCGCATTCTGTGACTTTCTCACACAACGTAAGAACGTAGTTGTTCTTATTTAGTAGCAGTAATAGTCAATGGTAAAACATTAGCGACAGCTGGTCCATATGTTGGGGCTGTAGTAATAATAGAGATTGATGGTTGGGGTATCTACTCTACTTCAGTATCCAATAGTCAAGATAAAACCATTGACCCTTAAATACATAAAACTAATCACTTATCCACTGGATTTTGTTTTTAAATACAGGTGTTTATTGTTGATCTATTGTTTTTCTGGAATCAAAATGTTTGGATTTTTATTGTGTTCAACACTTCAACAAAGCAATATGAAATAATTTTATTTTGTTCGTTACTACAGTAGCCTATTGTGTTTTACAAGTTTGTACAATGTCTGCAGCACACACTGTTGTTATACTATGCCTTTGCCAAATCTTGTTCATCAAAGTGATGCGGGCCAACGGTTTCAAATTCAAAGACAACGTGACGTACGACACATCAAAATAATTCTACGACACAAACTACGAATGCTACAACCTTGGTATATACACAGACAAAGTTCGATTCCACATAAGAAGGTGTAAAATCAATTACATGGTCAAAGACGTTGTCTCGCCGAGCTGTATCTTTTGTCCAATGAATTGTGCATTTTGCGCTAGACCTATTGAACATTACACTTGTGGAAGCAACACAGTGAAATTGTGGGGTGCAAAAGGTGAGGTGTACAAATGCCACTTTCACAGTTTGCACGCGATTGTTTGCAGTTCGCCGTGCCAAAACCTGGGGACATGTGTCAAGACGTATTATTCATACACCTGCTTTTGTACGAAGGAATACTACGGGAAGAATTGCGAAAAGAAAGCTGGTAATGTCTTAACTTATCTTGTCTTCTGTCATTATTACAATCTTACTTAGTTTTATTTTCCTATTACCTACCTAACTAGAGATAACTGGTGTCACTACGGTACTATCTCACTCTCTGGTTGAACGTTAGAGAAACAAACGTGCCACTGCTTTTGCTAGTTTGTTTTCGGTGTTTCGTGAATCGTGTTGTTAGGCTGGCCGTGTGATAGGTTGGTGGAAAGCTGTCAAATTAAGTTCCTTTTATTCATCATTCATTCAAACAATGCTATTTATTTGGGAATTTATTTATTTATTCATTCCCATAGAGATGAATGGTTTAGATGGAATTTTATTAGAACGACCATCGGTTTATGATCTTGTTAAAACGGGTTGCTCGTAAAATAATAAATAAATAAACTTAACTTATACTGCAATCATAATGTTGACATATTTTTGTTTACTATCAACAAAATAACAGGAGGACGCCATCTCGCAATGCCTCTAATTTGACAAGTCCCACCAACCTATCACACGGCCAACCTAACAACACAAAACTCTAAAAAAAACCAGCAAAAATAGTGGTCCCTTTTGTTAAACACAGAGTGGTGACTCCAGTTATTATTATAGCTCAGTGCTCCTAGAGCGAACTCACCACTGCTTGTTTAACTGGTAGCTTGAGTGGTTTAGCACCGAGCGGTCCAATTCAGCTATAGCTTATTTATGTTAAGTAATAAGTTCATTCTTAGTTACTAGTGAATATATTATGTAAATACTGTATAATATGTTTTATAAAAATACTTAACAGCCCATTTATGGACAATTTTGTGTATTCAGTGTCCTTCTACATTCCGACCACATAAAAATTATTTTTCCTACAGTCACCCGACAAAGTTGGCTTCCTTGTGCTGTTTATAGTACAGAAAGCTGCTAATTGCTGCATATTTATTCTTTGCCGTACGGTATATACTTTGTCGTACGGCTTATACTTTGCCGCACATCAGGATTCCAACAAAACAACACAAAACAGCGTGGTTCTATTATGCACGTAATCCGTGTACGCTTGGAAATAGGTTGGCAACACTTAAAGATA